CGCCTGTATTTTCTACAACGAGGTAAGGTCCTCTGACCTGTGTGTGGGGGGTGCTGCTCTGTGAGGGGGTGTTGTTGTGAACCTGTGTATGTTTCCTTCAGAACACCAAGCATTATGAGCTGCTGAATTACAGCGAGCACGGCACCACGGTGGACAACGTCCTGTACTCCTGTGACTTCTCAGAGAAAGCCTCGCCGTCGCCCCCCAGTGGCCTGGTGGCCAAGGTTCAAGGCATTATCCGTAAGTCCCCGTCTGTTTGGACTGGATTCTTTCATGAGCTCTGTACACAAACACTAAGTACTCAGGATGTAGTCCTCATTCATCCCCCTGGATTAACTGTTAGCTGGTGTACACCACTTATTTTTGTGTAAACATTACAAAAGAAACTTGTGTATCGTTTTCTCGTGGACAACAGATACCGTCCTGACTTCCTGCAAAACTTTGTTTTCACCAACATCCCCTTAGAAGCTGCAAATATTAAAACAAAAAATGTACAACACAGGATTTGTTTAAAAATGATCAAACAAATGCTGCTACCACAGGGTATAAAGTAAATTAATATGTTATAAATAATAAAGAGCAGTAAAATGTCCTCTCTGTTTAACCATTGTCACTTTATCCTGCTCTCAGGACACAGATTAAAGCAAATCAGCATCAGCTTTTTATTTCATACTTCAGATCAAAGCTGAGTTTTTAATTTAGTCAGACATATTTAGGTTTAAATGTGATATGTGGACCAATCTTTGAATGGTAGGGAAACACAGATGTAGCTGTCACAAATGTTAGTCAATATATGAAAAATAAATAGTATTAAAACAACTTAAAATTTTGAAATAATCGCAGTCAAAACTGTGAATAAAACTCAAAATCTCTAGAATATGTTTATATGAAAGCATCAGGAACACTGCACTTTATATTCTAACTGAACACTGAGCTGTTTACACTCCAGCAGCAGGAGGCACAAGTGGGTCGACCCAGATGTGACCCAGATGTGAAGCAGTCCTCAGAAACTGWGGTTCTACAACTAAACATGAGTTTATTGATTCACAGGAATGATCAATCCTAAAGATTGTTCYGTTTATACAGTAAATATAGGAGTTTTAAAGAAAAATGCACACAGCTAAACGTTCATTTGTCTTCATTTTCTGTAAATTGGTTAAAAGTAAATGTATTTTTCTTCATGGTTTGGTTTAGATCACAAAGTTCCTGATGCATTCATATAAAATGATTGTAAGGATTTTGAGCTTTATTCACAGTGTTAAACACACTGCTATAAGTTTGAACTGTAGAAGTGGTGTTTAGAGTGGAGTTCCCTCCTCTGCAGGACTGATGGTCGTTGGCAGGCCTGTGGCCATAAATCAGTTCATCAAATGATAAATTAAAATGAGGTCAAGTATTATTTACCTTGTTTGATTTCTTAGTGTCTCTCTCTTCTTAGAGTTGGGAGGAGTGAACTCTCAGGTAGCATGAGAGCTTCATGAACACACATTTATCTAGAGGAGCATC